CGATGGCAAGCGCCGCGTCCCCGGCCCCGCCTTCAACCCCGCCGGCTTCTTCGGCCATGGAAGACCTCATCGCCAAGCAGATGCGCGTCACGCACCAGGAGAATCCCCACTGCCAACTCGTCTCCTTCGACCGCGACTACGCCAACGCCTTCCAGCATTACGTCAACGACACCCTCGCCTTCACCGTCAAGCGCGACGGCTTCATGTGTGGCACCGTCTCCAACAACGGCAAGGTCGAGTTCGACTTCATCTATGAGCCTCCCCAGCAGGGCTCCGAGGACCTCCGACGAGGAGAAGCTCGTCGATGCTATTGTCGTCGGCTTGGGGATGCGAAAAGTTGGCTTCATTTTCACGCAGACCATTAGCTTCAGGTTGCCGAGTATCATGTTGAGAGTGGCTTGAAGGAGTGGGTTACTGCAGTGGTCAAGCTTGAGGTCAATGAAGACATGGCCGCCGATGTACATTTTGAACCGTTTCAGATGAGTGATGTGTGTGTTAAGTTGTTCAAGGAAGGTTGGTTCGAGACGGAGATAAAGGCTCCTATAGTTAAGTTATAGTGTTATATTTTTGCATTCAAATCAACAACGGGCTCATAACAACTACTGGAGAGGGAAACTTTGTTGTGGGATGGTGACAGATATTGGTTATGCTCCCATCTTATTGTGTATTATAATCTTTCTCACAATCCTCTTTGTCAACTGTGTTGTTGCAGGTATTTTAAAAATTGTATGCCAGTTTGCTATCCTTTTCTGTGATGAACCTTGACTGAATATTTTCACTAATTCCAGCTCCTAACCTTAAAAAGATTATTGCCATTGTTGGACTTTGGTCGTGGACAACACTTTCTCTGGTATTTGGTGCCCTTATTGTTCTATAGGTGTAGTAGGTAATCTCCTTTGTCATGTATTCTTTCTGTTTTTCTGTGTGATATGGTAATATACATATATGTACTTTCCTTGTATTTGTGTGATATTATATGCTTTGAATGAATACCTTCTACTGATGCATGCCTGTTGTTATGATGTGAATGCTCAAATAAAATTCTTTAGGAACTCAAGTTGGATCCAAGAGTTAGGACTTATAATTAGGACTAAAACTTGACAATCTGTCCTGAAATATCAAAAAAATCTTCGAGTTTAATTCTAAACTTTCAATCTACGCTACTTTATTGATGCTATTTCAATCCGATGCAGTAAAGATCCAGGTTATATAAAACGGCCAGGAGACTTGGGTACTCAAAGTGATACCGAGGTATGTGGTTATTTCATGGCTTTTGTGTAAAACAATGTTGCTTTTGAGTGAACTATCATTTTGGACGGCTCCTCTCTTTCTTTTTTATTTATTTATTTATTAATTTTATGGTAGTATGTTGGGGTATAAACATATGAACATTGCAATTACACTGCAATCACACATGTTGCAAATTAGATATCATATAGTTAGAAATGACTTGGTTTTATTTCAGCTGACGATGGATGTGATGGATGTGATATCAATACTTGATACAACTCCTTAAGATGGCAACATAATGTGTGTTACGTTACATCACTCATAATGTGTGTTAGGTTGTCCAATAAAGTAGTTGTTCTTTTCATAATGGCTCTTGTAGATGGCTTTTGAATTGTATGGTATGCTTACTGGTAATGTCGGTCCTATGACTGGAGAGAATGTATTTACATCGGTTATGCAATAAACTGATGTAGAATTGCATATAGATTTACATCGGTTATAATAAGAACCGATGTAGATTTATGATTATTCTACATCGGTTTTAAAATTGATATAAAATTGTATATATTTACTACGTCACTTTCTTCTACATCGGTTTTAGAACCGATGTAGATGATGTTAAAGAACCGATGTAAATAGCATGTCTTGTAGTAGTGATCCTACATCGCGAAGGGACAAATGTGGTTGGTGTGTTGCAATCAAAACAAAGCCAAGGGGTAGAATAGAATATAATGATATAGAAGATGATGTACCTTATCTAGTAGATGAAATGTTACATGCCAATGAAGTCATTGAAGTTGAAGGAATTACGGGATTACAAGATTTAGAAGTTGATCTTGAAGAAGTCAATGAGCAAATCAATGAAGAAAATGATTTGGCAAAAAATAATGAATAAAATGAACTTGATGATGATTTTGAAGATGAGTTTGAAGACTTTCGGAATAGGATTAGAAAAATTGGATTTGAAGTGTATGATTTTGATATCAAAGTGTATAATCATAATTATGCAACTAGTATTATAAATTTGATTTGTTGTCTATTTTTATATTATAGTTTCATTTTGGGTATTATTTTGTAACTTTATTTTCAATGAATAGATATGTCATTAGGAGGTTGTGACCCTCCCCTTCCACCGTCGCCTAGCGAGAATAAGGGGAAGTAGGTAATGAAGGGGAAGAAGCAATATGAGATTAAAGTATTATCACATAGACAACTTAACATCATCTATCCCATCCCCAGTTGTAGCATCCACGCAATCCCCATCCCCAGTTGTGGCATCCAGACCATCTCCATCCCTAGTTATTGGTTCTATGTCATCCTCATCCATAGCTATTCGTTCTACACCATCTCCATCCCCAGATGCTATAGGAACACCTAATGTTAATCCACCACCTGATAATGAAGACTTAAATGAGGAGGACCCGCCACTTGATGATCATCCTTTAATTAAACCTACTCATAATGGGTAAGAATAAATTAGCATTTACATAATTTTTTAATTATAAGTAAATTTAAGTTTATTAAGGTTTAAAATATTATGTCTTTATTTTGTTTAGGTTTCTCCCATCAAAGACTGCATCAAGTGCTATCACACAGACCATGCATTAAGCAGCAATATCATTCACCCTGGGTCACATGGGGAGAAATTCCCCAGGCTGATAAAGATATTTTCTTTCAACATTTTAAGGTAAATTAAAGATTTATGAAATATACACTTATATATCTATTTAAATCTAGGGTATTATTAACCCCAAGCGTGTAGTTCAACGGTAGGGGTTGATCCACGCTTAAGCAAGGTCAGGGATTTGAATCCTGCCTTGTGTATGCAACCGCGTTAAATCTTGGGGCCAGTTATCCCACCTTTTGAGGTGCCTCCAACGTAGCGAGGAGATTAGTCACTGCTATCGGTGGTGGATAGTATATGTATTACTATTACATATAAAAAAAAAGAAGTTATATACATTGTTAGTTTATTAATAGATAATTTAATAAAGATAAATATTATCATAAGAAATTTAATTTAAAATAGATGATAATTACTAAAAATATAATTTTACATATTTTAGTCACTAAAATTTACATTTATATCATATATTTCTAATTATATATTTTTGTTTTTCTAATATATTTATATCATATCTAATATGTTTATATTTCTGTAAATATATATAGTAATAAAGTGTTATTATATGACTAACATAGCTATTCTGATTTATTTCCTTTGTATATTAATAAATTTGTATAGTAAATACTTCTTCATTCTCAATTTTATTCCAGTTTAGTTTTGTGTAATTAATAGTGTTAATCAATAAAAATGCTTCATCAATATTTTTTGAGAACCTGTTAACTATGGGGAGTATGTTAGAAAAGAAAACAAGAGTTTACATGTGAAGGAAATATAGTGGGCCTAGTATGATAAATGATAAAAACCATGATTTAAAGTGGTGTTGGGTGTTAGTAGTTACATGATTTACATGTTGTCTTCTAGTTTTTTTTTTACAAAAGTAAGCTGTTATAAATTCTATAGGAGTTCGTTGATTAATTGTATTGGATTGTTGCAATGACTGATTGATTTGTATTGAATTATATGGTATTGAATTGTATTAAACCCATATAAGCGTATTTTTCATAGATTGATTTGGTCATTAAATATATATATTATTGTTAAATACTTGCTTGTTCTCATAGACTTTTTGAGATGTTTCTTTGGTTATTAATTAATATATATGGTTGTTAATAGAGGATGGTGAAATGAAGTCCTGAGCATGAAAGTAATATCAAAAAAATTTCAATGCAAAAGCTTCTCATAGACTTTCTGAGATGTTTATGGATGCCCGGAAGAAAAATGAGAAACCAGATTGGATTGGAGATCGTGTGTGGAAATCTTTATTAGAATATTGGAATGAACCTACATGTCGTACAAAGTGTACACAAGCATACAAAAATAGAGCATCTGAAAAGGGTGGAAGTATGCACACATGTGGCTCCATTAGTATGAATGGACATGCCATTCGCATGGTATGTTTATATTTTAGTCTTCATTTTTTTAATGCTTAATTTTATATGTTAAATTTTGATTTATATAATGTTTTTATTTGTAGGAAAAGGAGCTTGGTTGACCTGTACACCATGATGAACTCTTTCAGCAAACTCATATACGAAAAGACACTGGTTAGTTTGTTGATTATAAATCTAGGCGGACACATGTGAGTCTATTATGTTACTTATTTTATTTTTCTTTAATTTTATTAATGTTTACACTATTTTTACGTACTGTTTATGATGATAATAGGAAGATTTTGAAGCTAGATTTTCTCAAGTTATATTTGAGGTTGGATCCACTATTGGCACCTCAGAACGCACCCCTTTAGACCCTATTGAGGAGGATAGACTTAGGAGTCAATGTTGGAATGCAGCTATTGGTGAAAAATACAAGGGACGTCGTTATGGTACAGGAGATCTTTATGAGATTGAGGATAGCAGCTTTGTGGGGACATCTTTAAGTCAGTCTTAGAATACACAAGAGATTTCTCAGTTGACACAACGAGTTTTAGCTAATGAGGAAGAGATGCGTTAGATGCGCTCCTAGTATCAGACTGAGATTCAATCCTTGACCTCCTAGTATCAGCTGGGCCACTCTTTAATGACTTTGATTTTCTCGAGGATCGAAGTCCAACAAAGAAAGAAAATAAAATAATATAATAATAAAATCTTATTCATACAATCAGAGTTGGTGATCACCACAAAAAGGTGGTAGATTATTCTTTCTCATGCTCACTGCATGAAATAATAATAATAATAATAATAATAATAATAATAATAGGAGCGCATCTAACGCATCTCTTCCTCATTAGCTAAAACTCGTTGTGTCAACTGAGAAATCTCTTGTGTATTCTAAGACTGACTTAAAGATGTCCCCACAAAGCTGCTATCCTCAATCTCATAAAGATCTCCTGTACCATAACGACGTCCCTTGTATTTTTCACCAATAGCTGCATTCCAACATTGACTCCTAAGTCTATCCTCCTCAATAGGGTCTAAAGGGGTGCGTTCTGAGGTGCCAATAGTGGATCCAACCTCAAATATAACTTGAGAAAATCTAGCTTCAAAATCTTCCTATTATCATCATAAACAGTACGTAAAAATAGTGTAAACATTAATAAAATTAAAGAAAAATAAAATAAGTAACATAATAGACTCACATGTGTCCGCCTAGATTTATAATCAACAAACTAACCAGTGTCTTTTCGTATATGAGTTTGCTGAAAGAGTTCATCATGGTGTACAGGTCAACCAAGCTCCTTTTCCTACAAATAAAAACATTATATAAATCAAAATTTAACATATAAAATTAAGCATTAAAAAAATGAAGACTAAAATATAAACATACCATGCGAATGGCATGTCCATTCATACTAATGGAGCCACATGTGTGCATACTTCCACCCTTTTCAGATGCTCTATTTTTGTATGCTTGTGTACACTTTGTACGACATGTAGGTTCATTCCAATATTCTAATAAAGATTTCCACACACGATCTCCAATCCAATCTGGTTTCTCATTTTTCTTCCGGGCATCCATAAACATCTCAGAAAGTCTATGAGAAGCTTTTGCATTGAAATTTTTTTGATATTACTTTCATGCTCAGGACTTCATTTCACCATCCTCTATTAACAACCATATATATTAATTAATAACCAAAGAAACATCTCAAAAAGTCTATGAGAACAAGCAAGTATTTAACAATAATATATATATTTAATGACCAAATCAATCTATGAAAAATACGCTTATATGGGTTTAATACAATTCAATACCATATAATTCAATACAAATCAATCAGTCATTGCAACAATCCAATACAATTAATCAACGAACTCCTATAGAATTTATAACAGCTTACTTTTGTAAAAAAAAAACTAGAAGACAACATGTAAATCATGTAACTACTAACACCCAACACCACTTTAAATCATGGTTTTTATCATTTATCATACTAGGCCCACTATATTTCCTTCACATGTAAACTCTTGTTTTCTTTTCTAACATACTCCCCATAGTTAACAGGTTCTCAAAAAATATTGATGAAGCATTTTTATTGATTAACACTATTAATTACACAAAACTAAACTGGAATAAAATTGAGAATGAAGAAGTATTTACTATACAAATTTATTAATATACAAAGGAAATAAATCAGAATAGCTATGTTAGTCATATAATAACACTTTATTACTATATATATTTACAGAAATATAAACATATTAGATATGATATAAATATATTAGAAAAACAAAAATATATAATTAGAAATATATGATATAAATGTAAATTTTAGTGACTAAAATATGTAAAATTATATTTTTAGTAATTATCATCTATTTTAAATTAAATTTCTTATGATAATATTTATCTTTATTAAATTATCTATTAATAAACTAACAATGTATATAACTTCTTTTTTTTTATATGTAATAGTAATACATATACTATCCACCACCGATAGCAGTGACTAATCTCCTCGCTACGTTGGAGGCACCTCAAAAGGTGGGATAACTGGCCCCAAGATTTAACGCGGTTGCATACACAAGGCAGGATTCAAATCCCTGACCTTGCTTAAGCGTGGATCAACCCCTACCGTTGAACTACACGCTTGGGGTTAATAATACCCTAGATTTAAATAGATATATAAGTGTATATTTCATAAATCTTTAATTTACCTTAAAATGTTGAAAGAAAATATCTTTATCAGCCTGGGGAATTTCTCCCCATGTGACCCAGGGTGAATGATATTGCTGCTTAATGCATGGTCTGTGTGATAGCACTTGATGCAGTCTTTGATGGGAGAAACCTAAACAAAATAAAGACATAATATTTTAAACCTTAATAAACTTAAATTTACTTATAATTAAAAAATTATGTAAATGCTAATTTATTCTTACCCATTATGAGTAGGTTTAATTAAAGGATGATCATCAAGTGGCGGGTCCTCCTCATTTAAGTCTTCATTATCAGGTGGTGGATTAACATTAAATACGTGAAGAAATAACAACAAAAGGAGTCAAAGATATTTTAACAAAATTATATTATAGTTAATCATAAAATAAATTTGAGTATTTATCATTGTTTAAACTTTAAATAAATAACATTTACGTATAAGAATTCGTACAAGAGAGCTTTTCTTGTAAGTTTTAGACAAGATAGTTATGAGCAATAGAGAAATACTATACCCACACATGCCATCAGTTGCATACAATCAACAAAACAAACGACCTACACTACATAATTAGCACCTAAAATACTATAACTTTAGTTCATACAATAAAGTTTTAGGATTCAACCATTCTATAATACAAAACACCACCGCGACATCAAAGTACGTAAGATAAATTCATGCACTATTTTTCCAAAAAAAAAAAAAAAAAAAGAGAGAGATAGAGAGATCCAAATCCATCGGTGGCAGAAAATTGAACGTCATAGCCCCCTTCAAAACTTAAGAATTTCTGCTTAATTCCATCCCCTGGCCGTACGAACTTGCTGCTAGACACAACTGAATTATCAAAGCAAGAACTAAAGTAGTAGCAACCAGATAGTTTTAACACATTGTTATTCAATGCAATGTAACATGTTCTTACCGGAGATCGGCTGTAGAGATGATCCTCCGAGTAAGATTGGTGAGCCTCCTTCACTGGTACGCTTGATGCTCCAAGATGGGGGTGGTACCTGCAAAAGAGACTCCGACGCTAAAATTAGGGTTTGTATGAGTAGATGTCTCGTATAAGTAATGCACGTACCTTAGTGTGAGTTAGGGTTGTGTTGGGTCTTGGGCCTGAGATCAATTATGATCTAATTAGATAGCGGATCTCGTCTGGCCCGAGATCTCCTGAGATCGGTTATGATCTGGCTGGATTGCGGATCTCGTTTAGACCGAGGTCTCCAAATGCGTGTTCCGAGGTTATTCCACGCAACTGTGCCGAGTTCGAGCTCGGCATGGCAGTACGGATAGTACAGTACTAGCCCCCCGAGCTCCGAAGACCGTGGGTCGAGGAGTTTAAGACCGAGCTCGTTAGGGAGTAATGGCCTTTCGCCTACACCTGTTTATCGAGGTGCCATGTGTCACAACTGGTCATTTCCCGAGAACGTGCAAGTGGCGCGTTAATGGGAGTGACGGTTATGCAATGATGGTTTGCCTTTGTCATAATTGTTCTCAATTAATGTGTCATCAGACGTGTCCCTTGGCTGACATGTGGCGTGACCGTTTTGAATTTGGGAGAAACTCTTTTCTCTCCCTCGCGCCTCTTCCCCTTTCACTTTACTTTTTTTTCTCTCTTTCAGCTTCTTGCGCACGTTGTTTCTCTCGTTTCTGTTTGTCTTCCGTCTCCATTTTCTCCGTTTCCGCCATCGTTTCCGGTAACTCAGTCACTGTTAGGGTTGTTTTTTGAGGAAGAGTACCAGGTACTTCCTTTCTACAATTTTTTTTCCTTCTTTCCCAATCTTCTTCGAGTCTTTCTTGTTTTCTCCATGGCTGGAGGGAGTGTTGCTGGTTCCTCCGCGCCTGCCAAGGGTAAAGGCAAGGCGCGAGGCAAGGCGACAACTACCGGAACAGCCACCGTCGGGAAAAAGAAGGAGGTGGAGCCGCCAACGGACCTCGTTCCAGGTGTTCCTGGGTACTACTGGGTTCAGCGCGAGATGGCGGAGGCCCAGGGTTTGTGACCCTTCCATCTCCCGGATGATCCGGCTTGAACCTTGTCAGGCCGGTGAGGGCGTGTATATGGGGAAGTCTACTGACCCTCCCCATTTCTATGTTTACCAATGCTTCTTCAGGGATTTGGGCGTTTGCCTTCCCTTCACACAATTCGAGTGTGACTTCTTGAATTTTGTCAACTCGGCTCCTTGCCAGTTGCACCCCAACAGTTGGGTTTTTTTTAGGGCTTTTCAAGTCCTGTGTTCGGCCCTAGGAATAGAGGTGTCTCTTCCTGTCTTTCTTCATTTCTACCAATTGAAAATAGGCGTTCCTCCTTATGGCGTGCTTTCCCTGAGTGGGAGTAGGGATGGAGGTTTGTTTACTCTCTACTCCCAGTCATACAAAAATTATAAACAAGAGTTCTTCCAGGTCGTTCTTGTGGATGTCGATCCTTTAGAGGATGGGGCATTTTACTTCGGCGGGTTGCCGAAATTCCCTTTCTATTGGTGCCCCAAACTGTCTAGGTTTCATGGGGTGGGCCAATTGAAACTGACGGCTTCGGAGGCGGCCGTCGTTGAGAACCTCGCAGCGCTCCCTCGTCCGCTGGATTGCAAGCTCGTTCTGTCGCTTGCGAACTCAGCATACAAGGAGAGGGGCCTGGAGAGTGAGTATCTCGTCTTCTTTAAACTGTTAGGGTTTGCGAAACTTTTTCTTTTGCTGATGTTTTTATCTGCTGTGTTTGCAGGCATAATGGGCAAAAATAAGTGGCGCGAGCTGAAGCACCACTATAATGTTGCTGAGATAGAGGTCCCGGAGCCTCAGGAGGAGGAGATGTCCCCCCTTAAGGTCAACCGGAAAAGAAAGAGGGGCGAGAAAGAGGTCGGGGGAACCTCTGCCCTTCGTGGCACGGAGGAGGTGACTTCTAAGGCTGCGGATGCCGACGCAGTCGACCTCACTGGGAGTCCTCCGCTTGGGGAGGCTCCCCAAGTGGCTGCTGCGGGGACTGCTGATCAGGCTGTTCCTTCTACCGAGGTAAGTGTCTTATTCACTTTAGCTTTTCTTCTATGTTGATTTTGCTTGGTTTGTTGAGGTATTATTGCTCTGTGCAGGCAGGGATAGCTGCCGAGGTGGGGGCTCGCGTTGTTGAGCAAGTCACCCAGGCTGCCGTGGTAAGTACCTCGTTTTTCATTTTTCTGGTATTTTTTATGTTGTTCTTTTGTCCTCTGATATGCTGTTCTTTTATAGGTGGGAGATGCTGTTGAGACCTCGGCAGCTCTGAGCTCGGTGGTGTCTGAGGCAGGTGCCCCTATTGCTAAGTAGGGGACGTCAGCTGCCACGTCCGCTACTGCCGAGGTTCGGGGCAAGGGGCCAAGTTCCGAGGTCCTTACAACGATGCCTGCAGCCTCTGTGTCGTTGTCAGGTCTGTCACAGGGGGCCTCCCGGAGCTGATATATTGCTCATCGCTTCGGGAAGGACCGCTCTGATGTGTGCCTGGACCACGTGAGTGCCTCCGCCGATATGAATTCGTTGTGGAGTGCGGGGGTGACCGCCGAGAGGTTCTTCCCCAAGGGCTCGCTGAGCTTGGAGGATCAAGAGATGATTGAGGAGGCCGGGCCCGTGGAGAGCTTTGATGCTGCTCAAGTCCTTCTGCAGAGGGCTACGACCATTATGGATCACTAGAAGCATAGGTGGTCCAAGCAGCAGTGATAGACTATGGCCAAGGCCAAGGAATCCAAGAGGTGAAAAAAAAGAGAAAGGTGAAAGAAAGAAGAGAAAGAAAGATAAAAACAACTTTAAGGTAGGGGGAGGAGAAATTTATCTCTTTAAAATTTTATATACTACTATGTTTATTTATTTATGTTATTTTCTATGTGTATTTATTTAGTGAGGTGTCCCTAACCTCATTTATTTAACCTATGATTATTTCTACTCATAATAATTAATAAGGTGTTCATATTTTATGTTGTTTAATTATTTTAACGATTATCATTGTCATTTACTTGATTGGTGCTCTTTAATATATTTCATTTACGTAAATGTTATTTATTTAAAGTTTAAACAATGATAAATACTCAAATTTATTTTATGATTAACTATAATATAATTTTGTTAAAATATCTTTGACTCCTTTTGTTGTTATTTCTTCACGTATTTAAAGATAAATATTATTCTATGGTCATAGAAGATAAAATTTGAATTATTTGTAGCTCGAGGTTTGACCTTGGGGATTTAAATGAGTAAAGAGTTAAGATTAAAAATTCTTTTGTTGGTTGATATTATAATGCTCATTTATCCTGACTAGTCACTGCAAGTGTAATTCAAATTTTTATATGTATATTTTCTAGTGTTAACTATTTTACACATGTTATGTGATTATAAATATTTCTTTGAAAATTGTTCTTACTCCTTATTTTTCTTGTTTAAAATATTTAATTAAATATGAAAAACAGATGGATCTACCAATTGTACCAGGCCCTTTCACTTTCGTTATTACTGCAATTTTTTTGGGTACCAGTTGGGCTATGGACGCATCTGCAAATGCCGTTACATTTCAGGGGATAGGATTATCAACTTTTGTATTTTCACCAACCCAACAAAATCCCGTTATCATAGTTGGCCAGATAGTAGTCACTTTTTATTTACCTCCAACAAATCATGTTAATCCTATAGTGAACTTGTATCAACTCAATATGTAAACATTATAAAACTAGTGTAAGAAATAAGTAGTTTTAAAGTATGTTCATTATTGTAAAAACTTTTTTTTAATATATGATGCAAATATAAAGTGTTATATGCAAGCAAGTTTATAAAATTTTCTTTAATAATATTAATAATATAATGTACATAATTATTATATATGTAAAATATTGGAAGAAATATTCACGTGACTGGGATGTTACATGATGGAATAACACTAAGGCCAAGAAGACCAAGAGGTGATATATTGAAGGAGGCAAGAGGAATGGGTTAGTGTTGAAAAACCATAGGAGGAGTAAGCCTACTTTGGGCCTTAGCTACTAAATTATAGCATTTATTTTTATTCCTATTTTTGCCCTTGTCTTTAATTTCCTATTTTACCCTTGTATTTTGGGGTATCTTAGTCATAGGATTTATTTTCTTTTGTATTTCCCATTTTACCCTTGTATTATGGGGTGTTTTAGATCATAGGTTTTTAATTTTGGGCTAAGGTATTTAATTAGGGAGCTAGACACATTTTTGGTGGTGTTTGGACCTATTTTTGGACTTAGAAAGACTTAGGCCCAATTGGAGGGCAAAGGTTGCATGGTCTTATCATGCACCTAGATGTAGCCTAACTAAACCCAAAGATTCCATCCTTGGCCA